TCAAACTGAAAACAGAAAAGTTTGGAAGTGAAGGATCTCTCAACCAAAGATCTGTTTGATTTTTCAATGCAGGTGCTGACCAAACCTATAGCTATACATTAAAGGCCCCCATGTTGTGTAGATGAAGGGGTAGTGTTGCATACACATGCTTTTGCCTGCCAGTTTGAAAAATTAGACCTCCCTTGTCTTTCTTAGGGGTATATTAGTAGCTCTGTGTGCTCAGTTTTTGTGCCATTGATTGGGTGTGTTTTTAATCCTCTCATTTATGTATTTATAGCCAAAATAATCCCTGGAATATTGACTTCAACAGAATTAAAATAGAATGGAGTTTGCTCCACTGCTTTATGTTACAGATGTATTATCTGCCAGGATGGCTTTCAGCATATTCATTGTATATTACACTGACTCACCGTATAATACATCAGAACTATAATTTCATGGAGGTCTCATCAAATTCATTCTCACTGGGGGATAAGCAATGCGAATAATTTGTCATTTAGTGGCAAACTGGTTGGGTCTGTTCATCTTTTACATTTAATACAAATGCTCATTATTTACAAGCATTCCTGCCTTGCTTAATTCTAATGGTGCTATTTATGTAGCAATGCTTTATGTATAGCGGGTAAACTGTGCTATGAGCATAAAGGGGAAGAATTTGTTTAACTGCTTGTAAAGCTGAGTTCTTCATTTCAGGAGTCATCATGGCCTCCCTCCTCACTGGGTTTGGGCAGTTAATTGTTCTTGTGATTTTCTTGTCTCAACTCACAGCATCACTTCCTCTTCTGGAGAGGTAAGAGCCTTTCTGCTAATCCATCCCCCCCTTCTCTCCAGAGCTTTGTCTTTTAAAGAGCTGCTCACTAGAAAACAATGGACTTGGCTACCTAAATTGATGCACTTATTTGGTTGGCTAACTAAATCAAATTATTGATAAACTAGAACAACAGTGTGTGTAGACACTAATTTTTGCTTAGGAGAGGCATGCTTTGATTTAGCCTACTTCTGTAAAACTGCATTAAGCTAAACTGAATCAAGGCGTTCTTCAGCATGCAAGTTTGTACCCCTGTGAATTAGTTGGTTTACAACATACCATTAGCTACACTGGTGCAGGCATGCAGGCAAAGCTAGAGTTTATGGATTCTCATTCTCCTAAAGCCATCCAGTCCTTTCTAATGTCCTCTCATACTTGTCATGGAGCTTCACTCTGAATGGTAAAGAGGTTACTTTAATGTGACCGTTTATAAGAACAGACTTTTATTTGAGACTGTGTTTGAGTTCTAGGACAAAAGTTTTGCTGGTGCAATACCACTAATTTCAACAGCTCATTGTCTTTAACCACAAAAATAAGTGTCAAGGGGTATGTTGGGTCCGTAGTGTGATGAGGGGCAGGTGACCAGGGCACACATGCCAGGTGCCCATTTAGAAGGGGCATAAGATTGGCAGCTGCTCCTGCAACTGATCCAGCTGATCCAGTGGCTACTAGTGCCAGACCCTGGCTGGTATGCCTCTGTATTGGGCTCAGGGCATGAGTTTGCAATGTTACCCCATCAGAATTTCCCTTGCCCCAGTGTAGTAATGTGTTACACAGCTTTGAAGACAATGCAAGCAATGACACAAAGGGCAAGACCATGGGGAGTCAGGATCTGTCTATTGGCCAGTGCCACATTTACAAAATGTCTTCCAATGACATGGGCACATCTGTAACAGAATTGAGGACCAGCAGCGTTACTCTGAGCAAAAAACCCCAACATCTTCACTAAGACACATTATCATAGGAATCTGATCAAAGTGGTGTGGGAGACTCACTCTTGCTCCCACCAGTTCTTTTCAGTAAGAGGTTCCTGTTATCATGCATACAACAGGCCAGATGACCATGGGTATTTGGAAGGAATCCATGTGAAGCTTCGTCTTCAGGCATTTCAGTTCAGAGGCGTGGTGAATTCCTGCAGTGCCCTGGGCAGGTGCCAACCATTGGAGAGCAAGGGGTGAAGGGCAAAGGCTCATCTTCCGCCACTCTCTGCACTCTGGAAGCAGCTCCTGGAGCTGTAGTGCATGTACTCATGCTCCTGCAGCTGAGGAGCAGGCTAAGCAGGGGGCACCACAATGCCCCTGCTCCCCTAGCTATAGAAGCTGGGCATCCTGTATCCCATACTGCATGGGAGGGAGAGGGGAATCTGAAAGGCACGCCTCCCCAGGACTTGCCATGGGATGCACAGCTCTCCACCCAGGAGAGGATCCTGGGTGGGAGAGGGGGAGTGAACTACCTACCAGGAACAGCTGCTGGGGAGCCTGTACCATGGGGCTGGGGCAGCCAGTGTGCAGAAAGCCTGCCCGTCAGCTTCAGCAGTCCTGCTACAGCCTTATACACTACAGAGCCCAGGGCTGCCCAGCTTCTATGGGGTGGGAAGAAGGAGAAATTTTGGTGTCCCTTCATAGTTGGCATCTGGGATCGGTGCCCTACTTGCCCCACCTATTTCAATCCCAGGCTCCCAACTCAGTCCCAATGGACAAAGGCCCATATGGAAAACCTTGGTTTACCACAGCTATCCCCAGGACAAACAAGATACTATTCCTGTGGAGATCAATGGCAAAAGCCCCACTGACCTCAGGGTCATACAAAGGCAGTATGTTCCCACATGTATAAAATAACCACAGATCAGTTATGCCATGATCTTTGCCCCTGTCTAATAAACTGTATGGAAAATGCAAAGCTTGTGTATTATTCAAAGCATTGAAACAAAATATTGTCCTGTCTTTAAAGAGATGCTGTAAAGATAGGTAATAACCTGCTCTGCACAGGGCATCAGACATAGGCTGTAGCACTTAGATTGAATATGCTACCCCAGTGCATTGTTTTGTTTCTCAGGCTTTATTCATTGAAAGGCAAAAACCTGCCCTCAGAATAACTGAGTGCATGCTGTCCTCAAGATATATGGGAACAGTTACAAAGAGAGGGCTGTTTCTAGCATATTGAATATTCACTCAACACTTCTACAGTGTAAGCACCCCACCCAAAAAGAGTCAAATGCACTGTTGAGGGTGTATCTAAATTAACTCTTTTTACAGCTTATCAAGCAAAACAGCAAATGGCTGTCAAAACACATGGGGGGCCTGCTTCTTAGCAGGAGAAAATCAATATGACTCCATATATAGCTGCTGGGGGCAATGATACTGTAAGCTGAGCAGTGACAGTCAATGCACAGAATTCTATTTTACCTTATGGATGACCAAAGTGAAGCCTGTGTCATCTGAATAAAGTGTAGGAGTGGCTCCACTACCCACTTTGGGCATGTAAGTACCTCCATTAAAGGAACAAGGACGTGTCTGCTTTTCTGCATGGTGACTGTATTGCACCAGGGCTGCAAACAGATGTCTCATCTGAGGTGGCCCTGATTGTCTTAAGTTTTGACCTGGGTTCAAATAGGATGCACACATAGCACTTCCAAGCTGCACTGCTGTTCCTCTGCTTATAGGTGGCTGACAAAAGCACACAGCCTGAAAGCATGGGACGACACACAGTTACCTTACAGATGCACACCACAATGTGCTAAAGCACTGGTAAACTAAGCATGATGTCCACAATGTCCATGTACTTTGGAAACCAGTAGAAAAGAGGCTTCTGTTTCAAAAGATGCACTTAATAGCCTGGACCTGCAAATGCCATCCCTGTTAGGGCTGTCCAGATATGCATCCCTATTACCAAAGCATCTCACAACCTTTAACATGCTTCATACACCCCTGCAGGGCAAGGCAGTAGCGTCCCCATATTGAAGGTGGGGAACTCGCTGATTAATGTGCTTGAAAGCAGTGCTAGGAATTGCCCTTTACTGCCTTACCTCCAGGTTTTCCGCGCACAGGTTGGTGGAGCTGTGCTTCTCCCCCGTGCTCTCAAGAGCACCGTAGATGTGGTATTGAGGAAACCAAAGAGGTTGACTCACCCAGTGTCGTATAGGAAGTCTTAGGCAGAGCAAGGAGCTTAACCCAGGCCTCCCTCCTGCCAGGCTTATGCCCTAACCACTAGACATTCCTGCCTTAGCAAATCTGCACAAACATAATGCCTATTACAAGTGAAAAGTCAATGGAAGACAATGGAACTACACAGAAGAGAAAACATTATGCTCAGTAGTAAGCAGGATCACACTCCATATCAGCAAAATCTCAAGGTGATGTAAACAGATATAGCTCCACTCAAAGTCAGTGAAACTTGGTTCATGAGAGACTGCCTGAGGACCTGAATCCATCTATATAGAGAACTCAGTAAGGTGCAGGAAGGAGTTTGGATACCATTGAGGTGGGTGACCTAGAGCAAACCTAGCTTAGACAAGGGTACAAGGTGCTTTTACTCTCCAATTCTTTTAAACTTTTGATGATTTACTTGACTTTTCTCTTATTTTAACCCCTTCTTGTCCATCACTACTTAGTATTCTCCTGCCTCCCATTTTGGACCAAGGAGACCCTGGTATCTCTTTATGTTTTTCTATGGTCCCATCTCTCAGCTTCCCCTATCTCCTGAGGAGAGAGGTTCAGATACCCTTCCCCTGCAAAACATGGCTTGGCCCCCCACTTTTCATTTC